GCATGTATATAATAGAAGTGTATTCGAAGGTAAAGTTAGTAATAGTTTATCCTGCATGTAGTGTCAAAGTCCGAATTCATCTCTAGGATAAAGACTCCCGCGTGTGCAAATCGACATGGAGAATGTCGCACTAGTACACCGAATCGACAAATAAAGGTGACACATTCACAAACCTATTCTGTTCTGACGACTTCTTAACACGCATTACTTAGAAGATACCAGTGCCCAGTAGCTTTAGTGAGCATGTATATGGGGGACATCTACGTTCACTAACTGAATAATGGCTAGAACTTCTTCATCAAAATTCCACAGTACACAGAATACCACGTGACAGTTCAGATAAATGTATAGAACACTTTACACTAAAATGTCAACAATTCATATACATACCGAACCTTTTACACTTCAACGTATAAATATGGAACAATTTACTCATACATATAATTATAGAACACTTCACACTTCAACATATAAACATAGAACACTTTACACCTATACATATAAACATAGAACACTTTACACTTATACATATTAACATAGAACACTTTACACTTAAACATATAAACATAGAACACTTTACACATACATATAAAACATGGAATGCTTTACACTTGTATCGTATCTCTGCAGCGCTAAATCTGGCCAAGACAGTCAACGAGGCCTTCGCATCGTTCATGCAATCGTGGTAAGTGGCTGAGACTACGACTATGGTTTCAGGGTTTCTTTAGTTTTAGAGTTTAGGGTTTCTGGTTCAAGGTTTCTTGTGCTGGATATGTACAAATGGTTAAACCCAAACATCTAAAGCCCATAGTGCGTAAGACAGTGGTTGTGTGTGGGCGTGCGCCATTTGTGAAGAGTGTGTGGGTCTGTGTGTTGATACTGCTGTAGTCCGCGTGCCACCGATATCCTATCGTATTTGTCTACACGTACAAGCCACATAAACAGATACGTGTACATGTACATGTACATGAACATATACCTATAACTTATTTTTTATGACTCATCGACTACTCATTACCTGTCTCTGTGTTGGTCTACCTACTTCAGCTTCTCTTGCACCGACAGGACATTTGCGTTCTCGCTGGCACGAGATCATCTGCGGAGTATACCCAACGACTCGCCCGAGGTGAGTATATAACATCCGAGATGAGTCATAGATGAGTATATAACATCCGTCGATGGGGTTGGTATCATGTGTATGCACATGGCGTTGTCGCAGACATCTGTTTAATGTTCTGTGATAGTGTTTGTACAACTGTTATGTGTTTGATATCATATCTGCGTAACTCAGCTGTGCCACACCCGAGCTCAGCGATCACCTCTCCTCACATGAACTGCATGTACCGAAATATCTCATATGCATCCAAGGGTGAATGATGTATCAATATCAGGAATAGGAATTGTTGGTACAATACTATCGTTTTGTTTTCATGAAGAGAAACTCGAAGGTTGTCTCCGTATATATATATATATATAAATGTGTGTGTGTGTATGTATGTATGTATGTATATATGTGTGTATGTATATATGTATATGTATGTATGTATGTATGTATGTATATATATATATATATATATGTATGTATATATTCATATATATATATATATATATATATATATATATATATATATATATATATATATATATTTATATATATATATATATGTGTGTGTGTATATATGTATAGATATATATATATATATAAGTGTGTCTGTGTCTGTGTCTGTGTCTGTGTCTGTCTGTCTGTCTGTCTGTCTGTCTGCATATATTTCAGCCAGATTGTGGTCGATTTCCCTTACAGCATCCACCGGAGTTTGAGTGATATCCGTTGACTGTCTCATTACTGTCCCTTCCACCACCCGACAGGTCTCTGGGGCTAAAACTAGACTTCCTCATGGCTATCTGCGCCACGAACACTACGTAGCACTGAACATACCACTGGAGACGCCCTGGAGAGAGTGCTATAGCTGGCTGTCTGTATGATAGT